CCAATAATCATTTCGGAAAACAAATTTACATTTTTAAAAAACTTTTACAAATTCCGACACAAATAATCATTTCGGAAAACAAATTTACATTTTTAAAAAACTTTTACAAGTTACGACACAAATAATCATTTCGGAAAACAAATTTACATTTTTAAAAAACTTTTACAAGTTCCAAAACAAATTATCATTTCAGAAAACAAATTTACATTTAAAAAAAATAATGAAGAGACAAAAAACTTTTAAAAATTCAAAACAAATAGCATGTTAAGAAAACAAATAAAAAACATTTGAAACACTTTTACAATTCCCAAAACAAATGATCATTTGTGCGAAATTCTCTTTCTGTTCCCGCTGTGTCGGGAGCGCACATCGCAGCCAGAGAGGCGGATCTAACCATTTTCACGGCACTCCTGATCATTTCTCGATAAAAACAGCTCATATAATCATGTCAACTTTGTGACATTCAGTTTAATCGGTTGCTCTTTTTACACATTTGTAAAATAAAAACATTAATGAGGTTCTTGCGCTGTTTGTTGTTGTTTTTTTTTAAACGCCAAGAGAATCGGTATTTCTCCAACTTTTCTCTCTTTAGCCTGACAGAAATAAACGTCAGTCACCAAACACAGATTTCCAACACGTAGTGTATTTTTAATTTTTCATTGCTGATATAAGAGGATGGAAACTGGCTGATAGCAGGGAACACACATTAAGACGTCCTGCGAAGATGAGAGGGCAGAATTTCTGGTTAATCTGTTTTTTTATTTATTTATTTAATGTAAATTTGTTTTCTGAAATGATAATTTGTTTTAGAACTGGTAAAAGTTTTTTAGATTTTGTAATGTTGATTTGCACCTCCCGGCCACCGTACATTTTAGCAGCAGGGCTACAAAATAAGATTAAAACAACTCAGGAAATGAATCATGGGGTAAACTAAAGCGATAAAAACAGATGTTTAGGTGTTAAAATGTGAATATTTAAGGCAATATACAAAATTAAACTTAAGATTTCCTTCAGTCATTGTTGTAAACAGACATTTTACAATAGATGCTTTATCCTTGAGAATAAAAGTTTAGTAGTAATGAATATTAAAACTTAAAAACAATACCAATAGGCTACAAACCAAGTGGCCTTACTCGGCATAATGGGCATTAGAGAGAAAGATATTACAAACTTATACGTATGTATCACAAATGTACAACGTTTAAAAGTACCAGAGTGTAAATCAGAAATGTAGAAATATGAGTCGCAAATTTACAGCTAAAAATCGCTGATTAAAAAAAAATGAATCAACAGCTCTAGATGAAGCTGTTCCACTCCTATCGAGTTGGTGGCGGTAATGCACCAGAAGTTTGTTCGCCAACAGCCTTTAGATAAGAAGAGGAAGAAGATAATAATAAAAAAAGAATGTTATATCTTTGTTAAGATGTTGTTTTCAGTATTATGTTCCTATGGTTCTGTTTTTGTCTCCTTATTTACAAAAAAAACACTTTTGGACTTTTAGATTGTTTCCATGTAAACACAAAATTATTTATTCATATTAGTCAGTGGCGGATGGTCAACAGAGGGCGCCACCCCACCCACCCAATGACCCTGATTAATACATTAGAAAAATACAATATATTAATGAAATAAACTATATTTCGTAATTTCATTTCAAATTAAAATTTAACATTTTTTGAAATATATTGATATACTGTATATATTTTTTAGACATACAAGAGAAATATTGTATCTTTGATGAAATATTGTATCTTTCATTCCATTTTTGGTCAGATTGGTGACATATTTCCGCCTTAGGGCGCTAAAATGTTCTTAAATAAACACATTCTCTGAAAAATAAAATAGTTGTTATATATTAAAGAAATATAAAGCTGACTAATAGCTTCTCCATTATTAAACCAGTAAAAAAATGTTTAGGTTTATGACACAATGTAGAACGATGCACACAGATTTACCTTCACAAAGTCTCAGAAGGGCAACGTTTACGTACAACCTGTACATGAAATGATATTTTGTTTTCACAAAGTATTTATTATCATATTCTTTTGTTGTTGGCATTTATATAATTATAATGGTGTGATAGCTTAGTATACCTTTGATTGGTTTTTGGTGTACGTCTTTTTTGAATGTATAGCGCCCCCTGTAGAAAACTCCACCAGCCGCCACTAATATTAGTTATAAAGCTTAGCTTAGCTTAGCTCCTGGCCTAGCTTCTCTCTCCCGAACCCAAGCGAACTTTCACCCCCCATCTCAGACTGTTCTCAGCCCATGCAATCAGCCGGTTTTCCTTAGATAGAAATACTTTTGAAGAATATTGTTACTTGTACAAATAAATTGAATATTTTCTAATTGCAGTTTTTTTTCTGTGTGAGTCACTCTAGGTTGATTTTCTTTATTTTTATTTTTTTTCTAAATTTCACACAATGAACACAAACGCATTAGAAATATATGTTTTTATTGGCAAAGAAATTCAGCAACATACAAAACAAAATGGCAACAGCAAATAAATGATCAACACAAAAACCTGACTTTTTCATGTACTGCTGTTTGTTAGGTTGTTTTTTTTTTTATTTTTAAACAAAATGCTTAAAATGCAGCTGGGACCCAAAGACTTTTACGTGAAGAACATATTCATTATGTAACAGTACGGGTGTTTTTATCCAACAGCTTTCTAGATCTCTCCTTCCGTGGATCTGACCGTGCAGCATGTTAGTTTGGTTTGAATCCCACCACATCGTCTGGACGAAACAGAAAACATTTTGCTTTTATTCCCTTTTGGTGTTTTGTTCCTTTTTTAATGTGAACTTGAAAATCCCTTACAAGAAACTCCCTTTAGACTCTTGGTTGGCTTTCACATCTAGTATATTTAACTTCTAAATAACATGTCCTAATAAAGCACAAAGCCTGTTTACTGAAAAAAAGCAGCTAAAAATGATAAAATGTCTCTAAAAATAAACGTATTTGACCTCAATTTATGGAGGTAAATAAGATAATCTGCTAATAAAATGAGTATTTTTGCCCTTTACGGTTATTTTTCTCTTATTTTAAATGAAAATCATCTTATTCTATAGGTAGATTAAAGGAAAAATACACTTACTTAAGAAACATACACTTATTTTTATTGAGATTGTTGCATTGTAGGAATGAATCTGCTACTAAACAGTGAAAACTGATTTCAAAATAAGTAAAAATAATAAATCAGTAGATTTGCCCTTAATTTGAGCCGGTAAAAAAAACTTCAAAATAAAATATTTAACTTGTCTTTACTTGTTTTAAACATAAATCCTGGTATTCCATTGATAACTGTAATCATTTACCTGCTTAAAACAGAAAAACAGTCATTTGAAGAGGAACTAACTCACTAATTTTTATTTGATTATTAATTTTAGTGTAGCTCTGTGTGGAAAAACCCCATAAAAAGGGACAGCCAGCAGAATAGAATAAAAAAAACACACAAAATAAAAGGTTATAAACCAAAGCAAATATTCCCAAATGCCACGCAACCAACGGATCACAATGTGTGAGAGAAAATAAACAAAATCCACATTAGATCCACATTAGAGGCTAAACTCTCCAAGGAAAAATAGTCTGATTCATTTGCTGGTGTCTAATAAAGCTAAACAAGCTTTTTTATTTTTATTTTTTGATTTATTTTTTAGCTGTAACAGATTTCTTGCCCCTTTTTCGACCCGACGGAGGAAGATGTTAGCGATCATCCAGGGTTTCCAGCACAATCAGAGTTTGTTGGAAGCAAACACAGCTGGCTTTAAACAACATCGTTAGCCTGTGGTCTGGTCTCCATCACTAACGCCCAGTCATCCCTTTAAACATCTTTTTTCTTTTTTCACTTTATGAATCATGACTTTAAAAGAAACAGACAATCATAGAGCTGGATTTGCTCTCTCATCACTGGAAAAACGATCTAGAAATAAGTAAAGATTTCTTAAATTATGTGTATTTACTCCCAATCTGAGTAGGTAAATGAGATAATTTGCCAATAGAATTAATTTTTTTACTCTTAAAATAAGATTGTTCTTGTTCCCTTGGCAAAATGTTTTACCTGCTCAATCCTAGAACAATTTCACTTACTTTAAGAAAAAATTACTTTTGATTTTTTTTCAAATTGCTGCATTAAAACAAAAGGACGGTTAAAAACATGTAGAAAAATAAACAGCAATCAGTGCAATTCATGTTAAAATAATCCCTTCTAGTTCCCGCTTTGTGTTGATTATTACATCACATATGTTAAACAACCCTCTGATCTCCTATGTGACAGATGATTACAAACAGAAAGTTGTTAGAAAATGACAAAATTAAGAGGTCAGGCAGGAAAATCTCTCTAGAACCTGCTGCACAAACCTTTTTAATAAAAACGAAAGAAAAAAATCCGTACCCTGATGGTTTCTCTGAAAGAGTGATGCTGAAGTAAATGTAATAATTATCATTTTAGTCAGTTACTTTAATTACCGTGTCAGTTTTATTTTTACCTCTGTATTCATATTAGGATTTATAGGTATGGTTTAAACGTTATTAATGGCAAATTTTAGAAAAACTGCAACAAATGGGAGGAGTTAAATGTGGCAAGAGGCGCCTCACAGATGTTTCTTTACCCAAGACTCTCCGCTCCCTTATCCAGAAGCTCACTTCTTTAGGAAATAAAATGAACTGGTCCTTAGAGGGACTGGTAGCCTGCTGTCCTTCTCCTCCGCCCCAGCAGGTAGACTATCAGCACGATGACGATGAGCACCAGCAGAGTGATCCCCACTGCTATGGCGACACGGTAATCAGGTTGGTCGGCTGGACAGAAGTCGGCTGGAGGACACACAACAAAAAGATGAAACATCTGATGTCACATTAAGCTGAAAACAAATGAAGCGTTTCATTTCATTAAGTGTATTTATTTACATTTACAAATTTAGACATGTACGTTTTAATTGCATTTATTCAAACGCATAAAACTAAAGTTTGCATCCGACTTGTGATATATGCACAGGGAGAANACCTCTGTATTCATATTAGGATTTATAGGTATGGTTTAAACGTTATTAATGGCAAATTTTAGAAAAACTGCAACAAATGGGAGGAGTTAAATGTGGCAAGAGGCGCCTCACAGATGTTTCTTTACCCAAGACTCTCCGCTCCCTTATCCAGAAGCTCACTTCTTTAGGAAATAAAATGAACTGGTCCTTAGAGGGACTGGTAGCCTGCTGTCCTTCTCCTCCGCCCCAGCAGGTAGACTATCAGCACGATGACGATGAGCACCAGCAGAGTGATCCCCACTGCTATGGCGACACGGTAATCAGGTTGGTCGGCTGGACAGAAGTCGGCTGGAGGACACACAACAAAAAGATGAAACATCTGATGTCACATTAAGCTGAAAACAAATGAAGCGTTTCATTTCATTAAGTGTATTTATTTACATTTACAAATTTAGACATGTACGTTTTAATTGCATTTATTCAAACGCATAAAACTAAAGTTTGCATCCGACTTGTGATATATGCACAGGGAGAATATGCAAACTCCATGCAGATATTAACCTGGTCATGGAATCGAACCCATAACCTTCTATGTGTCACGATCTGGCCTGTTTGCTCCTCCTTAATTAGTCATTCCTTTCACCTGTCGTTTTTCCCTCCCTGCCTCAATTATAATTTATTCCTCTCACCTGTTTCCTCTGGTTTATATTCAGTTCAGCCTGAGCATTCAGGGCCAGATCATTTCTTGTCTTTTTGTTAGTCTGTCCGATCAGTTTTTGCCATGGTTCATGTCCTGGATCCTGGCAGCCAGTGGAAAGAGGTTTTTGTGTTTGTCTCGCCTCCTGATCGTCCACTGTTCCTCCCCCGCGGAGTCCTCTGGGTTTTTAGGCTCATTATGGGGGGAGGTTCAGCTTTTATTCCAGTAAGCCTGGCTGCAGGGAGGAGACCAGTTTAAAGTCCTGCATCAAGTTCTGGTTCCACGTCCTGTCTCGGCTACCCTCTTCCACTGAGTTTGCTCATCTGCACCTGATCCTGTCTGCTCCTGTGCGTGACGCTTTCGGACCCTGTCAGACTCTGAACCCTCCTGGGAGCTTGTGGATGCCTGGAAGTCTGGATCCTGCCACCTGTTTCTGTTCCTGCCTGATCTGGATCCCTGACCAGTATCGGCTTCCAGCATGTCCTCTGGAACTGCAGCACTTGGGGGACATTCTTGGACTAGACTGTTAAACCAGAGTGTCTGTGATTGGGCGGTGGGCAGTGTCCGCGAGCCACAGCTCCACTTTAGTTTTTGTTTTATTTAATAAACTTTTTGAATTCTCCTACTGACTGTCTTTCCTTGAATACTGGGTCCATCTGTCCTCAGTTCATGACACTAGGTGCAAACAAACAGTGCTACACTGGAAAAAATTGAAATCTAGATAAGTAAAAGAAGTAAAAGAGACATTTGGCCAATGGAAAAAGACAATTTACACTTAAAATAAGAAACACAATTACATTATCTTATTTCAAGTGCATTTTATCTAATTATCTTATTTTAAGGGTAAGAATATTCATTCCATTGGCAAACTATCTCACTTACCTACTCAAATTAAGGGTAAATACACTTAATTTAATAATTTTTTTTACTTATTTCTAGATCGTTTTTCCATGCTACCCACTGCTCCACCATGCAATTCCAGTTACATCCTCTCCTGTAAATGTTTTGCAGGTTAGTCATCAGAATCTGAGCTGCATATTCATAAAGACACACGCTTCAAAAGTTCTTAAACACCCAGATTGCTTTGCTTCTGCTTTGCAGGTCGGCTTTGCCCATGCTAACAAGTTAGCATGTTTTATAATACCTGCAAACCTTTTGAAGTTTTAGCACAAAGGCTAAAGCTATTGGTTTAAGATTAACTAACATTTACTTACATTTGTTTATCATCAAAATATTATTTTCTGCAGGTAAGATGCCGACTTCTCATAACTGTTCCTGTCATACTCTGTTTCCATTTGTGCACATATGGTGTTAAGTTCAACTCAGGTTGTTTTGCATATACAAAAAGAACAATGCTGAAATATGGCAGACTTTTTTTTCTACTTATAAACCTGCTCTTCAAGAGCTGCAGCATTCTTATCAGGCTGTTGCAGATCACATGCTTTATGCAAGCAATACTGCAAAGTGTGCTTACTTACTAAACTGATCAGTTAACTATGCAAACGTAGTTAATGGTAAAGTTTTATGTGCTTGAACATTGGGTCAATATTAACTATTTTTAGACAGTTATTTATCTAAATAGAAACACACTTATGGATTGGAAGAAAGTGTCTTTTGTGTTTCCTCTCTCTCAGGGACACTTACGTTTGCCAAATTCTCCGTTGGAGATGTTGAAGGCCTGCATTTGGTCCTTGGTGATATCCAGGTACAGCCCATTTCCCATGTAGAGAGTTTCCTTCTTGCAGGAGTAGCAGTATCCGATCCTTGCAGCGAACAGATTCAGCGAATTGTTTGTGGCAAAGTAATTATTGGGTCCTGAAAATAAAGTGAGACAAAGCAATGTTCAGGAGCTGGAGAGAGGACAAGACTCTGTGGTACATCTACACCTGATGGACAAAGGACATTCTTTGGAGGACCAGAGTGTTCACATTTTGGACAAAGAAGACAGGTGGTTTGAGAGGGGCATGAAGTACGGCATCTATGTTAAGAAAGAAAAAACAACCTTAAACAGAGGGGGAGGGGACTCAGATTTCAGCTTTCAGAAACCTACAATGCAGCGATAGAGTTGATTCCTTCCCGCTATCATGGCAGCCCTAACAC